CTAAGTTGTTGGGTTTGAATACTATTTCGGGTATTAGCGTGATTTTCTTATTGGTCCTCCCACGAGACCTCAGGGGCGTTGAATTTAACTACTCAAATCTTTTCTGCAAAATCTCCCACTTTTAGCGAATCGAGGCTGGTTTTAAAGTAGTTCTTTTGCCCAACCAATTAGTACGTAAACAATCCGCCTATAACTCCGGCTAGGGAACTGCTAATTTGAAAAATGGCCTCATATGTAGGAATGCTGCATAAAATTGTGCTCCCATATCCAAAGGTTCTGCGGTTTCTGCCAGATTTGAAATTTTAATAAAAATTATGCAAATTCCCAGGTATGCAGCTATCATTTTCGCATTAGAAGCAACGAAAATTGACGTGCTATCTGCGGGCAATTTAAATGCAAAAGAGCACTGGATCAACCTTGCCCCTAGCTGTGAAATGACGTGTTGTTCGAAACGCTGAATCTCAATTCATCTGATTAACAATTCGGTTGGAAGTCCGCAGCTCGAAAGGTTTATAATACCCACACTTAAGATCGGCATTTAATTTGCTATTGCAAATATTATGAAAATTATATAAAAACCAAACAAGATCGCCCATTATGGAATGACTGGCTGGGAAAATTAATACCTGAAAATCGAACGTGGCACTTCCTTTTGGACATGGCCGGTGTTTCACACGCTCAAGAACCCGGTAATTAAAATATGGCCAATAAAACAATATACAATTAATTATGCAAGCGCCATATTAAATCACTTGATGCATGTTTTGTATGCAACCTTTTGTTCAGCATTAATACATCATTTATAAGGTGTTTTATCTAGAAGAAAATTGCTGGTGAGCGTCACATTATTCAATTCACAACATGCCTACTACTGTCGATTTAATTGTTTGCACGAGCTTTGCAATAGGGTAATGGGAATAGTTGGATTTTTTCGGTAAAGATGCTGCTAAATATGCAAATTTTAATTGGAACCCACTTGAATAGAATATGGCTTAGAAGCCAGTGAAGATATTTATTTGCTTTTGAATGAAAATGGGCTTAAAGACGCATCTTTTCGAGAAGCTCGATGAATAATGTTTTCGACAATTTTTGCAAATAATTCGCAAATGCGACTGAATTAGAAGGAAAAGAGGGAATATTTTTCAAAATCGTCAAACTCGCCAAAAATAAAAATTGAATTTTTTGGTCATTTTATGAAATAAGAAATAAGTGCCTCAAAAGTACATATATGAAATTCGTAATTTTTTTAATCTATCTGCAGTGTTCGATGGATTAATGATGTGTTTTCGAACGGAACTAATATTTCAATATTTTCTTCGTCGCATTGTGGTATTTCAGCCGCGAGAAATGCGGTTTTAGAAACAAGAACGCAATTTTCAACAAGCAAAAACTGTCCATTTTGAACAAGAGCAATTTGAAAACTATATTATCTGTTAAAGTAATTTTATTTTCTGAAAATGGCAGACAGTTTGACCTTCTTTTAGGTCTTTATTAGCGCCTGATAAGAACATGAATCAAGGCTCCAAAGGTGTGTTAATGCCAAAAAAACCTTCCTAACTGTCTACCGTTCAATTTATTGTGCCCTTAGCAGGTGTGGTGTCCAAAGGGCACAGCAAATAAATAAAATTCAAATTGATTTTGCTACTCGCTTTGTTTCAAAGATGCGAATTTTTACAGAAAAGGGGCCAGTTGAGGATAAACATCAATTCTGAGGCGTCTGGGCTGATTTTCATGAAGCTTTCAGAATGTTAGGGCCAACTGTATTTTTCAAAGCAAAACTTAATATTTTTCAAAATTTAGATTAGATAGATTTAAATCAGCAAGGCAAAAAGAGAGAAATTTATAAAATTTATAAACCTTCAGTCGCTTGTCGGAAAACTAAACTCAGGTCAAGCTAAAAGATTTATAGATTAGAGATCATTCTTAGCGGCTGTTGCACGCTGGCGCCTCATCCTCCATTTTCTACCCATTAATTCCCAAAAAGTTCACTACACTTTTACAAACTACCGCACGTGCCATAAGGGCCCCAATGATTCGATATTTCCCATCTAAGAACGTGATTTACAGGGCACAAAGAATTATCGACCGATTTCGTCCACTGTCGGTAGCAAACTGAATATTCATAAATCATTTCGAAAAAAAAATTTCGAAAAATCGAAGTACAGAATAAACATGATTATTTAATAATTTGCTTGTTCGCCCTCTCGATGATTTGCTCTTCCTTAGTAGTTCGATTGTAAACTAAAACTAAAATTAATAACCGAATTAATTATTGTTTTTTCTAAAAATATTGACTAAACAAAAAATCCGCGAAGAAATCAGTTTGCAATGAAACTGTTGTTCAATTTCTGAGCAATGATAGAAACCAACGAAGTTTCAACTAATTAAAAATCTTTAAAAGTTCTGACTTTTAGAGGAAGAGATAAATAAAAAATAAAATAGTCAAAGTTGAAAGAAAAAAAATAGTTTAAATGCAGTCGCAAACTCGCTTCCAAAACAGACAATATGAACTTTTCCTGCACAATTAATAAATAAAATCTCAAAACATTACAGTGGAGATGTGTAGAAACTGTCCACGAATGAATCTTCCAGACCTGAGCCTGAATAACCTCTATAAGAAAATAATTTCACCAATTGTTACGTAGTATGTCAAAGACGTGCATCTGATTTTTTTAAACTGACATTCAACCCAGCTACAATCAGACTAAACCTCCTCTTTATTTTCATCTGAAAATACCATTATTGTTTCGAATGATTTATAGTTTCCGTTTGCCACTCTTTGATGATCTCTAATGCCACTCTAATCTCTTTTGTACTTGACTGTTCCATTGTTTATAAATAGTAAGAAGCCGGAGCGAAACTTTAATAGCCTTTTCTTTGTAAAACAACATTTACATCTGTAACTAATGTACAGTATTTATGGTCTTAATGTCGAAACTAAACGATCGATATCACACGAACTAATTTTTCATCGGATAAATATGCAAATATATTCGAGTCGATCCTAATAACGATTGGATCTTGGGAATAGGCGCTCGCTAATAGGTCGTATGTCTTCCAAAGAAGATTATTGATATTGTTGAAACGTATCGTGAGACAAGTGGCTGAAGCTGGAACCCATTTGAGATTTGATGCGAAAAATGTGCATTTTGGAAACCCAATTTGGCGAGCCTCCAAAACGAGATCGAATATCGTAGCGTAAAACTGAAGGCGCCAAATTATGTAACATGGAATAAGTGGACGCGAGTAGAAAACAAAATTACGTTGGTTTAGATGTAAACGAGCGTTTCATAGCAATTACGCTGCACAGAAAATCACGTTTTGCAAATTAAACATTTCGCTCAGTGAAAACAGGTGTAATTTTACGGGTTTAGCGTAGAAGCTAAATTTTTGCTGTTTATTAAAACTGTTTTCAGGTTTTTTAAGACCAACCCACTGAGCACTTAGGATTAGTAATCTTCCTCGCATCGATATCAGACAGCAAAGTCGTCTGGCATCAAAACCTCTTTGTCCTTTTACCTACGCCATATTTCTCATATCTTTGGGCATTAAGCAGATAGCAAAATATTAGTCAATATGAATAATATTTGGAAAAAATGCCGCTTGCACACCCCTATGATAAATCAGGGCCCATTACTCATTGGCGCAATTTTTGCAGCCTCGAACTGCTGCATAAGCGGCATTTTTGTCGTGTTTCCATTCCCAGCCTATGGCCGTAAATTCAAATCTATACAGACCACTCGTCTTCCTACGCATTCTGAAATAGAAGCCCGCAAGATTGCATTCTTCAGCTAGTCAGATTTAATGTCTTAAGTAAAGGATTAAGTCTGATAAGTGTTCACATTGCCATTAGGGAGCTTTGGAAGGATGCAAAAGAGCTTGATGAAGAACGCATTAGTTAGCGCTTTTTTATTTTTCTCTAGGTTGAATTTTCCTGGACGATGGAGTTGAAAAGTGCTGGTTCTTTGAGCTCGAATCGATTGAAAGCTCAGGGCAGCTTCAAGGAATTTTCTAACAAACTTTATGGAATGTTTAATTCGGTCCAAGACGATTTCACGCATAAATCACATAATTTCTCAGCACCTTTAAACCTAAACATAAATTACGAAAGGATTTTTGGATGTTTGGCAATGGATCTCGTTTAGATTTCTGTAGGAATTCAATTCAACCCACCTGTTTTTTCACTTTTTATGTGGTATTTTTATCTTTTGTTTACAATCCTAAATGATCCGACGTTACATTATTCCGATATCTCAATAGACACTTCCAATAACATCTAAAGCCAAATGAATCACCGAATGTGATTGATTTCAAACATTTTTTTACTGTGATGTTATTAGTGTATTTAATTATTTCAACGTAAGATTTTTCTATAGCAAACAATAAAACAATAAAACGAATCAATATGGATGGATGTTCATTAAAGTCTACAGCATATGCGATTTGAGGCATTCGCCACATCGATTTTTTTTCTACATCCTCATTGTTAAATAAAGTTATTAAACATTGTTCTGCGTTTTTTAACCTTGACTGATCAGCGGAGCAGGTCTGAGCTATCGGCTTGTAGTTCTTGTAATGAGCATTAAAAGTCCGCTTGTAATTACGTTTTCGATGGTAATTCGTTTGTAAGGTTGGGTACAATAGGTAGTTAGCAACTAATTATGTTGTCAGGTTATTTTATTGTCCGCATTTTTATAGTAAGTTTATTTGTCTTCATAGGCTAGGACGATCGCTTTGTCATACACAGTGCGAACTATTTGTGGATATTTATTCATTTTAATCAGCACTGGCTTCAAATAAGTTTTAAAAGAGACTCACACTAGACAAACTAGGGATTAAATCTGAAATGAGATTCAACCAGTTCAAAAACTTGAGTTTCTTCAAATAATAGTGAATGTATTTATAGAACCTGCATTGTCTATTTTCACTGCTATTATAAACTCAACTATGTAAAGATGAAGTATTATATTTTTTCATCAAAAAATCTCTGATTGTTTCAGAATTCATTGAAGATTCTCATCTGGATGATCTTGGAGTTCAAGAGGCAGTTTTTGTAAAACCGCTGAAAATCAACCCTGATGATGAAACTGTTCAATATGATCAAAGTAAGTTCAATAAGTATTTAGTGAAGACCCAATTTAATATCCACAATTATACGGCACCCAATACATTGTGACCGTTGCTTCACTTAGCGCCAATATTAATCCACTTTGCTGACTTGAAACGTATGGAAAATGTAGAGCGTTTTACTATTTATCTCATAGAGCACATACATTTTATGAATAATTGCTGGAAGTTCTATTTTAGGTTTCGCATTCGGACAAATCGCGCTCTTTATTTATACTTTATCAATTCTTGAACAAATGCTCTGTTTTCCATTTCCATTTAAATCGCTACAAAATAAATCGATCACTTCGCCTTCAGCCATCACTTCGTCTTCATCTTCGTCTTCAAAATGTTTTTACCACGCCGCTTATAGCAGACAAAGTCCGAAGTGTTCTAAAAATCATCCATGATCCCCATTTTTCTCTGAAGTGTTCACATTTAAAGACGAATGAAAAATGAAATTGTTTATTATACAATACAATTTAAAAATGTACACAATGCATCTGAATGGGGCCAATGTGCTCCTAATTAAGTATATAAAAGTTGAATTCTTAATAAATTATTATAAATAAAGACTTAAAAATGAAGTCATCGGGCAATCGTTGCAATTCGATGCTATTTAAATGATACTTTAGAAGGAATAATATAAACGATGGAAATGTTACCGAATGATACCGAATTTATATTTTCGAACCATGCATTTGATTTAAAAAATAAAATATTTTTGAAATGAATTTCTAATTTTACAGAACATAAGAATGATTTATACATCCAGGCACGAAACCAAGATTCATATTTTTGCAAATATCTCAACTTTCCAAAATAAAAACTTCTTAAAGGTATTTTTTAAAGAGCTTTCTGCAATTCCTCGAAATACCAAGTTTTCCTTCACTGGTTTTTTTGTTCTTCCATGGAATAAAATTATTTACAAATGTTTTAACTTGCAGCTAAATATTGCATTTGCCTCAAATATATTTTATATAAGTATTATAATATCTCATTGATATTGATATTTAAATAAATTGGCTTATATAAATTATAAAATGTGAAATATAAATTGGCTTATATTTCACATTATCTGCGGTTTGCTCTCCGAATTATCAAACGAAAAAGTGTGTTATGGAAGCAAATTGAATCAAATAAATCTGATTCGAAATATTTGTTTTTTTTTGCAGATTCAACAGTAGTGAAACACCATAGTGGACATTTCAGGCATAAATCGGCGGAAATTTGGGATCCTCATCCGAAATATCAGATCGAAGCTTTTGGCAAAACATTGATGTTGGAGTTGGAGCACGATGATAAATTTGTAGCTCCCGGACTACATGTAAGTGTCTGTTTCGCTTTTTTTTTCAATTGACTTGTTTGCGCAGTTTTGCATAGCACGAAAATGAGCGCAATTTAAAATTGACAATAAAATTAAAGAAAAAAATTGAGTAAACATGAGATCAGCAAGTGAAACAATGAGACATAAAATTGTGTTTGCTCTTCTTGCAGATTGTGACACATGGACAGGACATTGCCCATAGACGGCCTCATGACCCGAAAGTTTCGGGTTGCTTCTATACCGGGAAACTGCAAAACGACTCCAACTCTGCTATCTCCGTGAATCTTTGCCACGGCATGGTAAATTGAAATTATTCATAATTTTTGCTGCACTGGTTCGACATAATTTGTCCAATTTTTGCACATAATCATGTTGCCCGTTATATTGTTCCGCGAAAAACTGTGTAACGGAACCCGAAAATTCGATTATCATGCAATTTGCCTGCACTTCCCCGAAAATTTTGCTACTAAAATGCCAATTAGCATTTTGCATTTTGTTGCTGAGCTCAGACGTTCGGAAGGACGTTCAAATCGTATGACTTACTGGGCTGATATTCGTGATATGTTCTCATATTACCCATGTTTTACACTATTTACATAGCGATTGCCATTGGGAAAACGAGATAGCTGAATGTAGCTGATGATTTATTTCCGGAAATGTTCAACAAGAAAATTTCAGTGATTTTTTTGGAACCGATCAGCGTGCAAAGCAGCAAATCAGGCTGACAAAATTGACCGATCATAAGAACCGTCTTACATGCGTCTCGCTAATGTTGCTAATTAGCCATCGATTTTCGTATTAATTGTCGCGAGTAACTCAATCATTCTGATGCGAAGACATGCCGGCAGCATGTTTTATCCTTAAAAGGAAGTTTTCCGATTTACCTGAAACCTTGAAAAGTCGTTGTTTTTTCGTGCAGACGATCCGGTCGGCCTACCGGGTGGCATCCAGTTTAATTTTTTTGCAAAATCTTATTTCATCTGACGTCAGTGAAGCGATCAATTACATTGTTCATTATTCCGTACCGAGCAAAGTTCTATAGAGGAGTTTGAGAAAAATGTATTGAAACATTTACAGTTTAGCTTGGTTTTTTACTTTTCGTGTGTTCGTTAATATACACACGGCCTGGTTCTGGAGCAAATGGAAATTAAAATTTCCATTAGATTGTACTTGTGTTACTTTGCACTTTTGGCCACCGAAATCACCGGATGTCACTCCGTTGGATTTTTGTCTAGTGCGGAAGTTAAGTGGATTGAAGCAGGAGGTGATGTTTGCGAAAAATGTTCATCAATTGTTGCTGTTTGTTTATATTCAGTTTTATTTTGCTTGGTTGGTTTGGAAATAGTTTTCTCGCTAGTTTTTCAGTTAAAATTAATCAAAGTATCTTGGAAGCAAATAAAAATCTTGCCCGAAACTATGAGCTTGTTTGACTTATTTCGACCCATATCCATAAAATATTCGCATTTCTCTTTGAATCGCCCTGTATGCTTAGGACTTATTACTGAAAACAGTTTTAGAAGCAACTTCCACTTTGAAGCAGCATTTGCAATTCACTTTTTCGTTAATTTTTTATTGATTTCTGATAAAATTTGCCACTGCGAAATTGAAACAAACCAAGCAAAAAATATATTAAATCTCAAACGAGCACAATTGAAAAATAAAGTTGATTGATTACTTGGAGAGGCTCATTAGAAAGGTTTCACAATTCTTCACTTGCGTACCGAGGTTGATAACAGCAGCGAAAGTTAAAAATGTACTGATTAAACCGCTGTGAGGCAAACCTAAGCTTAATTGGAAAAAAGATTCAAGCGCGCTTAATTAACTTATCCGAAAGTTCTTATTAATTCTGCTGGAAAAGCCTGTTTAGAAAACGAAAGAAAATCGGAGAAGAAACATAAATGTACCCATGTTTTTATTATCTAGAGACTATTTTTTACACTTAGAAACGAGTATGTTATAAATAAATGCCACTCTTTCATAAATTCTGCTGACTGCAGTCCGATTGCTGGATTGCTTTTGCTATTGTCATAATATTAAATATGGTTAACAATCAAGAAACATTTTTATTTTTTAATATCCTAATATCGTTTGTCGATTGTTACTACCGAATTTAGAAGCAAAAAGTTTGGCAAAAAATGTATAAAGAAACTTTTATTTTGGTTATAATTGCGCCACCATTTTGCAAAAGAAACCACTAAAGTTGTTTCAATTTGAGCTGGTGAAACCAAATTTATAACATTTTCGACTTTTCACCTTGTTCTTTGCAGTTACCCACGCCTTACAAACTTTCGGGCTCACCAGTTTCTACTCAATGGAAATGATCCAGTTTTAAGGATCATTCAAGTCAGGTATTTTCAACTGTTCAAAATTGCCGATTTTTAAAAACTTCTGTACCTACACCCATTCTGTACCTACACTGTGCCATTTTTGATTTTGGGGCAAAAATCCAGGATTAAAACTTTAAAAAATCGTAACTTTAATCACTTGAAAATTTGTTTCAAAAGGATCAGTTTCATTTTCTTACGTGACTTAAAGCGGTTCAAAAGTTAACAAAAACTTAAAAAATTATCGTTTTGGCAAGGATTTTGAATAATTTCCATGCGTTTTGGTGTGGAATTTTATTTGCGATCCTTGAATTCCATCATGTGAGTTAGAAAAGCTGCAATCTACAAAAATCTACAAAAAAATGTGGCAAAAAGTTGCTCAAAAACTCAAAAAAATGCCTCAAATGATTGAAAACTACACATTTCTTTCAATATCTCGGAAACTGTTGATTTGCCTTTTTTGGGAAACTTGGGAAAATAAACAGGCTGCTCCAGATCGGTTTTTTGGCAAAAATCGCCCATTTGAACACGCGCTGATTTCTCATAATAACGGAAATTTTAAGCAGCAACATTTCATCATAATTAGCCGATTGCTTCGATCTAGATTTTTGTGTATTTTGGCAAGACAAAGTGTGTGAGTTGTAGATCAAGTGAGTGAGTGATGATCCGTAACAATTTCGCAAGGTTGCATTTATTCTAATCGTTCAACGTTATGCAGTGCATCAACGTGCATTTTTAGCACCACTGGCGAAAACATGTTGAAATGTTTGGCGGATTTCCTTTGATATTTTACCGATTGCCGGCCAGTATCGGCATTTTGAATCAGAATAAAGGAATCAAAGAGGTCAAGCCAGCCACCAGTGGTGTAGATCTAATACTAAACTGCAACATGATTGAATATCGTCCGACAAGTTTTAAACAAATACTTAATCTGTTGTGTAAATTATTTGATATTATTGATCTTTTGTACGATCTGGCACTCAATAATTCGATTTGTAATCCATTCAAGTGGAAGTGGTTTGAAGCGAACCCGCTTAAATCAATACGATTGTATGAAAGAACAACATCGAGTAGACGATCATTGAGATTATTTTGATTAGTTAAGTATCTACGATCGCCATCTAAATTAAATTTAACGCCAAAGATACCGATGAATTGTACTGGGCGGTACTCAATAAAGTTTATGCGTGACGAATTACATATGAGAATGTCCGATTTGAAATGGGAGGGAAATTGATTTTTGAATTAAATAGATCGATTTCGACCAGACAAGATCGATGCTTGAATCAATCGTGTCAAGCCTGGCCTGGGTTTACAGTCGAAATTTTGTTTATTGTTTCTCCACTAAAGTCAAACGAGAAATTTTATCACATAACAGTATTTAATCGTCGTTAAACGAGCCATTAACAACTAATCGGATTAAGGTGGTTATGCAGTTTTTACGCTTCCTTATAGTCGATTTTCTACTAACAATCCCAATAAACTCGATGTGCAATCGTAGCCACACTATTACATAATGTTTTTGTAGAAATCGAATTTACAAGCTCATTGTTCTTAATTAAAATGCCCCATTTGCATCCAAAAAACGGGACAGTTTAGTCAAAAAACCCGCCAATTTTAATCACTCTGTATGAATGGAACTAGAAAATGCAATGTCTACGACACTGTTTACAGATAAAGTCGAAAAAAGTATTTTGCAGCTGCCATTAACGAATAAAGACATTCAATATTTGCCCCATTTTTTCTAAAGCAAATGTTGTCTTTCGTCTGCAGACAAGTTAACATTTCAATTGAAAAATCCTGATTATTATCGAAAGTAAACATTCGGTTTGATTACTCACAATGTATTGAATCTGTTATCTGAAACAATCATTGTCTTCTCTCTATTAACATTTTTATACAGGGTGTTACTAATTTGCCAATTTTCAGTTTCTTCCGCGGGATCCCAGAGTTGAATTTCAATTAAAAAACACTCTGTACATGGTTTGCAGATGTTTAAGCACAATTAGCTTCGAAAATATTTTCCTTTTTAGTCCCAGCCCTTTTTTCAAAACTGTCCCTTTTAGTGGAAGTTTTATTTATTGGCCTTTGGCTGTGCCAATGGGAGCTTTATTCTGGCCTGTTTGTTCTCTGCTTTCTAAAGTTTGTGGAGATTTTTCCCTCGAATTTGAGCCGAATAGAAAAAACCGATTGCTAGCGAAGTTCCGATGAATCTTAATTTAAAAAAAAGAAAAAATAATCGACCAAACATCGTCATGACTCACTGAGTTGGAAATTTTAACAGCTCGTGAAAAAATCGATTAAAAAAAATCGTTATTCCGGGCGCCATGTTTATTTTTTCAAATGACTGACGTATTGCGCAACATTCCCTAGTTTAAATATTTGTGGCTCGTTTACGTTAAATAGGTAAAAAGTTTCCACATTGTGGCGATTGATTTTTTGATTGGATTGGAGGATCGTAGACTGATGGGCAATTAATTTTCTCACAACTATTCGTCACTTTTCCGACTAATTGAAACGCGAAAATCCCGTGTTTATTCGGATTATTATTTTATTATTATTATTTTTATTTTGCCTCAAAGTATCTAGTTTTTATAATTGGACATAAAAAGGAAAAAATACGACTCGAATTCTCAGCGTCATATTGTAAAGAAACTAGACTGGGGCGTCAGTAAAGTTGCAGCGCAGAAAACTTTATTTTTCTAATGAAACACTATATTTTATTTTATTTTTTAATTTTTATATAAAGTTCTATTACTCATCAACTAACATTGGATAGTTCCTCTGTTTTAACGCTTCAACTGTGAAAATTTTCGTGTTTATGGGGTTAATCTGGGGCCAGAGATAGGAAATGATCGTTACAAAGCCAAATTTGCCCTAATTTTGGAACTGGATTAATTCTGATTGCTTCAAGCGATTTCTAATCTTTTTGAAGCGTTGTTTAGCCCCATTTGTTTTCTGTTAGTCAATGCTTT